CGTTTTACCCACCACCCTGTCTGGTCAAGTCCTGGTCACGGCTCACCCTGACTCCCCCAGGAGCCTTCTAACTGGTCTAGCCCCTGTGCTCAGCCCCTCTGGTCTGCCCCTCCCTGCAGCCGGAGTGAAGTCCAATCCTGCCACCTCTCTTCTTGAGAAAGATCAGATGCCCTGCCATGGCTCTGCAGCCCTGTGCAAACTCTCCCCACCTCTGGCATCGTCTGGCCCTATCTGGCCCTACAGTCTCCTGAGTCTTTGGCCTTCCTTCAGTTCCTCAAATGCACTGTCATGTTTCCAAACACAGGGCCTTTGCACCTGCTGTGCCCTCTGCCTGAAAGGTCCTTCTTCAAGCCTAGTGAATACCCCCTTACCCTATGTTTCAGCTGAATCGTTAACTCTTGGGGAAACCTTCTTCTTCCTCCCCACCAGCTCATCCCTCCCCTCATCCCCTCACCCACTCACTTAGCACCCACATCCCTTCTCGGTTACTTTATCACGGCTGCCATTTACCTTTGTTCGTGGGAATATTTGATTGCCTCCCTTAGCAGTTTGCTTCCCAAAATCAGGCACCTTGTTGGGTTGTAGTTGCAACTGTCCTTCCAGGGAGCAGTGCCGTGTGCAACCCAGAGTGGAAGCTCAAAACCAGCCCGCCGTCCAGTACTGGCCTCGCTCCCCTGCTACCCCTGCTCACCTATATCCAGTCCCAACAGGGTCTATCCTAAAGTCACGGTTCTCAAATGGGGGCAGCTTTGCCCCCCAGGGGACATTTGGCAATGTCTGGAGACATTTTGGCTTGTCACAACTGAAGGGAGGGGCTACGGGCATCTGGGGGGTAAAGGTCAGAGGCCAGGGATGCAGCTGAACATCCCACAACGCACAGGACAGGCCCCACCCCGAGAACGATCGGCCCGAAATGTCAGTGGTGCTGCTGTCGAAAACCATCTTCTAACACCCACTCTGAGTGCTTCCACTCCACGTCTACTGGTCCTCCTGCCTGTCTCCTGGAGGTCACCCTTCGTCCCCCATGGCCCTCTCTGCACGGCAGCCAGCACGGCCTTGTCCAAGCAGTTTCCTTCCCTGCGTAAAGCCCTTCAGTGGCTTCCCATCACCCTTAGAATAAAACCCAAACTTCCCCATGGCTACCAGCCTCACACCACCTGGCTCATGGCACACAGGTCAATGGTCAGGAGGTGAGCTCGGCAAAGTGCTGACTTGTTTATTCTCTCCTTACGTGTGTCCTTTCCCATCAGAATATAGGCTCTGTGACAGGAGCGAGCTTGTCCATCCTGTTCGCTGCTGGAGCCCAGCACCTAGGGCAGGGCCTGGCACGTAGGAGGGGCTCCTAAGAATGTTTGTTGAATGAGTGAATGAATGAATGTATCCCAAGATCGCTCTGAGTCCAGCAAGGTGTGACCCAAACCATTGCTGTGCCATGGCCCGAGCCTTGAGTGTTCACAAACTAATTAAGGAGACAAGATGTACAGACAGAGTCAATTAAAGATCAGCTCTCAAACAGCTTTCACAAGCTTCTGCTGGGGAAACCGAGTTCACCGTCTTTGTGCATCGGCCCAGCATCGAGACAAGGGCTTCCTCCGGTTACTCTTGAGGGATTGGTTAAAGCCCTGAGCTTCTTCTCCGGGCTGTCCTGTGCTCCAGGGGTGAAATTACGGTTCAGCTAAAATGCAGATGCACCCGGGCCGAGGCAAAGGCCATCTATTTCCACGTCATGTCCCCATCGTGAGAGTGCACATCATGGGGGGCATGGCTGTGCCTGCACGGAGGGGGCGAGCAGTGCTTTTGGGTCCAAGAAAGCAGAACTGGAGGTCTCCCCAGGATTCTATTTTTACAAAGCTAAATCGATAAAAGTATTGCAGCAAATCGTATTCCAGGCAAGAGACGGGAAAGTACGTACGCTACGGTTCTGAAGAAATGAAAGAGCCAGTGGAAGCTCAAGGACTCAACAGACGCAGGTGAAAATGGCACAAAAGTGATGCAGATTATTCACACACACACACACACACACGCTGAGTGATGACCCAAAGGGTGCCAGGCACTCTTCTGGTCCCTTTATGTGCGTTTATTCAAAGCCCACAGTGACCGCTCGAGGTAGGTCCGATTTGCTGCGCCCATTCTGCAGAAGAGGGAAGGGAAGTCTAGAGAGGTTAAATAATAATCCCCGGGTGGGCAACACCGGACTAACAGAGCCAACCGGAAGAGCAGAGATGTGAGCCATGCCAGAGGCCTTCCTGGAGGAGGAGGCAGGGAGGTTGCGGTCTGATGGAGGAAAGGATGAAAGGGGAGGTCACAAACACAAAAAGCCAGTAAATGGGCGGGAGGAGAGGACTAACCCTGATCCAGCACCCACGGTGTCATTTCAACATAATCATCTCATTTAATCCTCATGGCACCTCTGATGATTTCCTCCGTTGTTCACATCTTACAGATGGGGAAACTGAGGCCCAAGTTAACTGACCAGCTTCCAGTTACATAACTCCTAAGCAGCACAGTGAGGCTGGGTACCAGGTCTCTCTGACCTTTCTGACCTTGCCATGATCAGGGGACCAAAGAGGCAGCCTGGGTGGGGGGATGTGGGACCTTCCTGGAGGCCTTCTCCCCTTATGACTTCCTTCAAAGCCCACCCCACAACCAAGGGGACGTTACCTTCTCGCACCTGACTATGAGATGATGCCTATGAGACTAGATGCCCTTGTGTGAGTGTTTCTGGAAGCTTCTCTCCCACCTTCACCTGACTTTTTTTTGAGCTGTCTGGGTGTGCGTGGAGGGAGAAAAATAGCACTGTGGTTCTCAGAACCCGGCAGGTACCTTTGCAGCCACCCCACCTCGCTGACTTTTACCTGGAGAGGCCTCAGGGGAAGGAACAAGATGGCAGGGAGCGCTGGCTGGTGCGTGGCTCACCCGCCCACACAGAAAAGCCCTGGTGTTGAAACCCCACCCCCAATCCCAAATCAAAAAAATTGGCACTGTGAGAGTTCAGGTGAGTCCTGGGCGGGGGCGGGGGTGGGGAGGGAGTTAAGGCTGGCCCGGTGAGGGAGCATCATCTAGAGGCTAGGAAACTTGCGAATGAAAGGGCTGATGTCCTCGGAAATGGGCAGCCCAGGGAGGACAGTCTGGGCTTGGTTGGGGCAGGAGGCTAGGGCAATGCCTTCACCTTTTAGAAAATTTACCAAAATAACACCTGAACCTTGTATGTAATATAGATAAGGGAAAGAAAATGCCATCCCCACGATAACCGCTGTCCTGCTGAAACTGCTTGGTGACTTGCTCACTTTAATTATTATTAATTATTTTGTCACCTTTTCGAGACAGAACAGTGAAGCCCTCTTATCAAGCTCCATCGGGCCTTGAAGCTGGCCTTCTAAAGCGGGATCAGAACACCGACACGCACAGGCCTTAAACATTATTTTGTAACTTAAAGCTTATAAATGCACCACCATTCGGAAAGGTTGAGGGTGTCTCGGAGCGGGGTGTCTCTTTCTTGCATGAACTGTACCGGTAATGGTTGACTTAAAATTTCAAATTTGAGTTTATTCAAAGAGAAGCAAAACATTCGCAGAGACCCCTGAATGCAAAGTCCTTTGAGATTTTTGCAGTGTTTTCTAGTCTTTCAGACGGCCTTGCCCACAGCTGGCTCTATAGCCGTTTTGAAAGCTCATCTTTATTATCTTCCTTAAACATTCTATTTTGTGTTCATTACAACAACTCTATCCTTTGCACTTGTTCATCATCAGTTTATGTGGCATTTGCTTAAATTACTTAGCTACAAAGCAATCTTGTAGTTAGACCTACTGGACTAACGACCATTTTTTTTTTTTTTGCCTTTACAAAATACTAAGTAATTCCCGTGACACGTCAAACATCTTATTTTCCTTAAATTCCTATTTTCTCATATCTCCATGCAGTTTTGCTCCTACTGTGACTTACCATGAGTCAATTTATTCCCTAAACTTTCCCTAAGTTTATAATAATATACATAACATATATTAATATATAGAATATATAAATATTCCACTATAACATAGATCATTCCATGTAATTGTTTTTAAGGTCTGCATAATATTCCATCTTGTACATAAGCACAATAATTCATCCTAACCCATCATTTACTTTTGGTCTACATGTCCTAATGTCTAGGTGGTTCTCAATTTTTTACTATCATAAACAACATTGTAATGAAGTTTCTAATCTTTATGTCTTCACACACTTGACCAATTATTTCATTCATTCATTCACTCACTCAAAAAATACGCATTGAGCCACTACTAGGTACTATGTACTATTCTACGCAGTGAGATTACGGTAATAAACCAAACCAACACAAACCCCCACTCTTGTGGATTGTATTCTCATGGGACGTTTCCATGTCCTTAGGATAAATTCCAAAAAGTTGGATTCTTGGCCAATGGCTATGAAGCTTTTTAGGGCTTTTGATACACATTGTCAAAACGCACTCAGAAACTAAAGAAACAGTGACTTCTAATTCTTAACCAACTGAGTCATTTCAAAGTTTCATGCACACACATCCATAGCCCCTACACACAGCGGTAATAGTTACCACGTGTATTAGTTATCTATTGCTGTGTAATAAATTACTCCAAAACTTAGCAACTTAAAAACACAAATATTGATTATGTCACAGTTTCTGTTGGTCAGGAATTTGGTAGTGGCTCATCTGGGTGGACGGGCTCAGGACCTCTCATGAGGTGGTCGTAAAGGTGTCACCCAGAGCTGTAGGCATCTGAAGGGTTAACTGTGTCTGGAGCACCTGCTTCGAAGAAGGCTCACTCTCATGGCTATTGACAAGAGGCCTCAGTTCCTGATCACTTGGGCCCCTCTGTAGGCCTGCTGGAATGTCCCCACAACGTGGCAGCTGGCTTCCCCCAAAGCAAATGATCCAAGAGACAGCAGGCAAGAAGCAATGCCTTTTACAACCTACTCTTAGAAGTCACTCACCAGCATTTCCACCAGATTCTATCTGAAGCAAGTCACTAAGGCCAGACCGTAGTCAACGGGAGAGGAACTAAGCTCAGACTTGAATTCGAGGACCTGTTTTAAAAACACCACACTGTAGGTAGGGGAGACTTCCATGGCACTGACAGCCACCCGGAAGAGAAGCAAGAAATCACTCCAGTTGTATTTTTGATGGAATGATGCTCTTGTCCCAAAGAGCGTTTCAATGGGTCTTACTATTGCTTTGTATCTTTTTCTCTTCCATTTTTAATTAAGCCTATTCTCCTCTATAAAATACACACTTAGTGGTGAAAACTTGGAAAATACAAAGAAGTCAAGACAAAATAATAAAATTCACCCAGCATCACACAACCGAGAGACAACCACTGATAGCATTGTAGTTATTTCCTTCCTTCTATGAATATTTTCTTACATTGTGGAGAATGTGATGAATCTACAATTCTGTATCCTGCTTTTTCTTGTACTCTTAGTGCATATATTTTCTTCAAGTCATTGAGAACACTTTGCACCAAAAATTTTAAATGGCTACCACTTTCCATTATACACATCACCACAATTTTCTTACTAATTCCCCTATTATTGGACTTATAGATTGTTTTCAGTTTTTAAATTATTGTAACAACTCAGTGATGAACATCTTTGTTCTTAGAATTTTGAAAGCATTTTGATTCATTTCCTCCATTAGGTTCCCAGAAATAGAATGACTGAACATTTTTGAAACTCTAGGTACTTATTTCCTTTGTTTTGTTTCTTAAAGCCTTACTTCCATGGTAACGTTTTCTGGTTCTTGGATCAACCAGAAACTCGTGTTACTTTTCAATCGATATCAGTGTTGTCCTTGGCTGGTTTGTTGTCAAGTGCCTCCATTCCTTCATTCGTTCGACAAATATTTACGTGAGCACGACATTAGGGGCCAGGACTGGGCTGCATCTTAGGGAGGCAATGATTACCAGAGCTCATGGTCCAGAGAAATTTTGGCTTTTGTCTCTTTCCACAGGATTTGAAGTGGCTTGCAAGTAGGACATTTGAAGTGGATAATAAAATAAAAATAGAAGGTCAGTACCGAAGACGATAAAGACATGAATATATTTCCCCCAAGAGTTACCAAAATTGCTGTCATTGATCCTCAAACTTGGCTTTGCATTTCTTAGCAGTCCAAAAAGTGGGAACAATGACCAGTTATAGGGTTCTCATAACTGGAGAAGAGGGAGCGTATGTGTGCCTCCAGGAGTGGAAGCCTTTCCCGGCACTGAATTCTGAAGGAAATTTCATGGGAATGATTTTATTACACAGAACAGAGACTGAGCAACGGAAGGAATGAGGTCTTCAACAATATTTCGGGTTTTCTAAAGCAGCAAATGAAGTAGTAAATTTCACATGATTTTTCTTTAGTGATCTTTATCAAGTTAAGGGCCTAATATTGAAATGCAACTTCATGAAGGTAACCGAGTGAAAAGGAACTCCCTAGTCTCCGGTGAGCAGCCAATGATGGGGTCCAACTGGGTCCAAGAAAAAACTTAGAATTCCTGGAGGAGAAAGAACAATGAGATGCCATGTTTTGTCTCTCAGCTTGGCAAAGATTAAGCTTTCTTTAAAGATTAAAACCCAATTTTGGCAAGAATTGGGGACGCCAGCCCTCCCATACATTATGGGTCAGAATTTAAATTGGTATAATCTTTCCAGAGGGTGATTTGGCACGAGGTAACAAGAGTCTTAAAAATGTGCTTACACACAGCGATTCTGCCGTGGGGAATTGTTCTTCCTAAGGAAATAGCCAAAAATGCATACAAAGACTTATGTGCTAGGACTTTGTTCTGCTCAGGCTTCTTGGTTTGCAATAAATACAGATGGACCCACCCAGGGGCTGGAAATCTCTGGATGTGAGGCAACTCTGGCAGCTGGACTTTTTTCTGTAACTCACGTTAGCATCTCAGCTTCTCTTTTTCTTTGTATAACTTTTTATTTTGAGATAATTTAAGACTCGAAAGAATTTGCAAAAAAATAATACAGAGTGTTCCCACATACCCATCACACAGCTTTCCCCAATGATAGCATCTTACATAACCACAGAACATGATCAAAATCAGGACATTGACCTAGTAATGCTATTACTAAACTACAGACCTTATTCAGTTCCCACCAGGTTTTATACACCGTGTGTGTGTGTGTGTGTGTGTGTAGAACTATGAAATTCTATCTTACATGTAGATTCATGTAACCACCACCATATTCAGGACTGAGAACCGTTCTGTCCAGAAAGAAACTCACTGTGCTACTCTGGTAGTCATACCCCACCGCACCCCTGCCATAGCCCCTGACAACCACTGATCTTTCTCCACCAGGATAATTTTGTCATTTCAAGAGTGTGATAGAAATGGAAGCATGCAGAATGTACCCTGCGGAGTGTGCTTCTGCGTCCTCAGCTTGTCTGTTTTCTCAACACTTGGGTCGGCCATACCTTCTCCTGGCCTCTCCTCAGCCTATGTGGGTCTCTCTGGGTACTTTTGCCCTGAGAGAGAGAATCCCATGGCCTACCACACTTGCAGGTCAAGCCCCGCCGTTACCATGGTCAGTGGTAAGCCACGGATTGGCCGTCAGAGGTCAGGTTCCCACTTCCGGTCCAATCATCAGTGGCTGAGGGGAGTCAGCCATTTGACATGAAACATGGCCCGCTCAGCCCACCCTGTCATCAAAGAGATAAGCAGAGGGAGGTCCCCTCCGAGGAGGGGCTGGGGCTGGGCAGATGCCTTAACTGGTGTCTCTACTTTGCTGTTCACTGGGCAAAGTCCAAAATGTCCGTGGCCTAGCTGATAGCCACTCCTGTGTTCTTCTTTGCTATTAGAACCCCAATTTGGGGCTGATCTGGGGTAACCATGCGCTTTCTGGGTTCTCTAGTGTCCCAGAGGATGGACGTTCCCTGTCCAAGCCAATCGTGGGAATTCTGTTCTCCTTGCCAATGGCTGGTTGAGGCAAGTACATGTGACACAGTGAGGCCTGGGGGAGGACTCCTTCCCTGGGCAGGGGGGCAGATCCAGGAGAGGATAGTTTGACCTCAAAGAGCTCCTGACGGTTTCTCAAGGATGACAGAGCATCCTTCTCTGTGTGTGGTTTTTCCAGAAGTCCTTACCCGGGGATCACTGGTCCAAAACCCAGCGCTGCAGCAAGAACAATTTATAGCAAAACCAGAACCCAAACCAATAAACTAACTTTGGAGAAAATATTAAAGGCCAGAGAGGAGCTGCTGGGAAATTTCATTAGCCTGAAAACACCCAGAGTCATCATTTTGTGAGTTAGGACTATCAGAAGTGATGTCCTCGCCTCTGGGAAGGCAGCCGTCCCCCTCACCAGGCACCTGCCACTCACCTGTCTCTAGACTGTGCTGTGCTTGGAAAGGAGCAGAACCCTGTCCCCTTGTCCAGGGGCTTTTGACTCTACAGAGTGCAGGTGGCTGTTGTTGGTGCCAAATGAGAGGGGGATTATGTAACTCATTGTCCAAACTGGGACACTTGTGAAAGTGAAACAGAGCTGTTAATTCTTCCGGAGCAATGAGCATAGACCAGGATCATCCAAAGCAGATGGGCTGGAGGGTCACGCAGCGATTGGCCCACTTCTGGTGAGAGCTGCCCCCTGCCCACCCCGCCCCGCCGCATTTAGGGGAGCTGCCCGTCCCCCCTCTAAGCATGTGACTCTGATACTTTATCTATTTTAGGGTTTCCTAGCCTTGGCCCTACGACATTTGGGGCTTCATTATTCTTTGTTGCGGGGGCAGCTGTCCTACGCCTTGTAGGTTGTTTAACAGCGTCCCTGGCTTCTGCCCACTAGATGCCAGTAACAGCCCCCGCCCCAAGTTGTGACGACTGAAAATGCTTCCAGACATTGTCAAAATCCCCTCGGGGCGCACTTGCTCCAGTTGAGAACTGCTGATCTAGTCCTTGTGTCAAGGAAGGACGTCAGGCCTGGGGTGCACTTAAGGGTTGGAGCTTGTCTGAACAGTTAACAAGTCTCCTCGTCTCAGGGCCTAAAGAGAGGAGCCGCTAAGTGGTTGGCACCAGGGCACTGGAGGACCCCTAGGGAGGAGGGAGAAGCACGCTCCTTCCTTTCCAGTGTTGTTCGGGAAGCCCCACTATGACTCGCAGGAGCTGGGGTTTGAGTGGGAGACCATCCAACTCTCCCAGCCGACACAGTCCCCAGGTCTCTGGAGAGCCAGCCTGGGGGACAGTCCATTGGCCAGAAGCACGTTGTTCCTGTGATGGGGAGCACTAAAGCTCAACACCGTCATCCCACCGGGGCAAGCTGGGCGTGTCGAATGAATGAATGAATGAATGAATCCCAGTTCAATCTTAAACTTACTGAGTGACCATGGGCAAGTGCATTTAGACCATCTGATCTTTAATTTACTCACTTAAATAATAAAGGAAAGAATGCTACCTGCCTTACAGCTGTGCAGGATGAACTTAGACCCTCCCGTCCATTCCATCAGAGGCAGTTTGGGAGAGCCAGAAGTATCTATATGGGGATGGCTACTGTGGCGACTAGGGGGTCTTTATAAGGAATGCGAGGCCTGGAGGGAGATGGTCACTGCTTTAGCACAACAGTGAGCCAGCTGTCATTGCACAAGGAGGGGGTCAGAGTCAGGATCAGAGGAGTAAGACTGTCCCCAGGGGAATCCAGACCGCATTGTCCTTAGAAGAAAATTACAATTTGCTGTGGTGTGTTTTGCTCGTAGGTAACTAAAAAAACGGTGTGTGTGTGTCTGTTTCTTTCACCAGTGCAGAAATTTATCAGGATTCAGAGCCAGGGGAGCCTTTCCCACATTGCTGGGGCCACAGCCCACCCCACTTCTCTGCTGCGCAGTGGGCAGGTCTGGGCAGAAAAAAGCCTCAGTTAACGTGGAGCCCAGTGGTCTTCAGCCAGAGGTGACTTGCTCCCCAGGGGACATTCGGCCATGTCTGGGGATATTTTTGGTTCTCATAAATGGGGGCGGGATGCTATTAGCATCTAATAGGTAGAGGCCAGAGATGCTGCTAGACATCCTACAATGCACAGGACAGCCCCCACACCCCCTCAACCACATGTCAGTAGCGCTGAGGTTGAGAAACCCTGATGAGCCTGAGGTATTAGGGTTTGTCCTACACTCCAGGGAAGTTGGGCTGCATCTTCCATCCCCTGGGGAAGCTTAGGGGTTTCTGCCCTTCCCCTCCCCATGAGAATAAAGGAATGAGTTAGAGGTTGCATCTCCATCCTCTGAGGTCGTCCAGGCCTTTCAGTGGAAAAACTGCTTCTCCTCCTACAGAGACCAGCACTCAGGTTTATGGATGACACAAGGTGGTCCTCACTGGGACATGGGCTACTGGCACTAAGCAATGCCCACAGACTCACAGATGACACCCCAACCAGGAGAGATGTAAGCTAGTATTCCCCCTGCCAACAATCCTCCCTTCCCGCCACCCACCCTCCTGGAGGGTGCCAGAGCTCCTGGCACATCCTCATTACTCAGTACCAGGTACATTGGTGGTGCCCAGAAGACTTCTCCCTCTTTGTTCCCTGCCTGCCTCTCCTGTGCTCTCAGGCTGCCAACACCTGCTCTCAGCAAAGTGCCTGGCACTTTAGTAGCTGACTCTGAATGATCCAGAAACACCACCCTCCCCATAGGGATTTAAAACTGAACAAGCATTCAAACCTAAATAATTACAGTTACATTTGCTACTTTTTGCCAGACCCAGCGCTACAGATTCTGGATGTATTGATTGTCTCCATTATTCTCTCAACAAACCCTTGCGGTGTGCGTTATGGGCGATAAGCCTATTTTTCAAATAATGAAACCAAAACTTAGAGGGATCCAGTAGTTTACCCAAGTCACTCAGTCAATAGCAGAGATGAGAGTCAGTCTCAGACCCATCTTACTCCAGCGCACATGCTTGTAACCCGCTGGGGCTAAATAAGTTACAGGCATGAGAGGCACCACTTCCTGGAGCAGTGGAGCCCCTGACCAGTTGCCCCCCGCCACTGCAAGCAGCCTGACCTTTCACCCCAGAGGGCCATCTGTAATTATCTTCGTCTTGAAAAAAGGCGGGAAACACAGACTGCATCAAACCTCCTATGAACGGACAGAAGGTCCACCAGGAAATTTTAGACATTTACCAGTAGATGGCAGTGATTGAGGGAAGCGGGGAGATCTTTTTATCCCCCTGTAGGAGCAGAATCTCATGATCTTTACAAGCGATGGCTGAAGGATCTGTCATTCTTAATCAAGGTTTCCAGAAGCTAGAGGCTTCCAGATAGCCTGAAGCAGGTCCATTTCTTTGAAAGGCCAATTTGTCATACCTAGAGGTTGTCCCACTTCCTAGAACCACGCCCAGAAGAATCCTGCAGACCTTTGCTTGCTCTGAAAGGACAGCCAGAGCCCCTGGAAAAGGAACATGGCTGAGACTTCGAAGACTGGCTCTGCCCCTTCCCCACCCCCATTCTCACCATTGCTAAGCATCTCCTCAGACTCCTTGCCCCGCTGGCTCAGTGTCATACCCTTCACACCCTGTAGGAGGACTCTGGTAAGAAAAAGGAAAGTAACAAGGGTTGGTGAGGATGTGGAGAAATTGGAATCTCATACGTCGCTGGTGGGAATGTAAACCAGTCCAGCCACTGTGGATGACAGTCTGTCGATTCCTCCAAAATTGAAACCAGAACTGCTATAAGATCTAGCAATTCCACTCTGAGGCGTACATTTAATAGAATTCAAAACAGGTGTTCAAACAGATACACGTACCCACATGTTCATAGCAGCACTATTCACGATAGCCAAAGGAGGAACAACTCAATGCCCCCAGCAGAGGAACAGGTAAACGAACTGTGGTATATGCGTGCAGTGGAATATTAATCATAAAGAGGAATGAAGTACCAATGCGTGCTACAATGTGAGGGGGCCTCTAAAACATTATCTAAGTGTAAGAAGCCAGACGCAAAGGGTTATATATCATATGACCCCATTTATCTGACATATCCAGAATAGGTCCTTCCATAGAGACAGAAAGCAAACTGGTAATAGCCAGGGGTTGGGGAAAGAGGGAATGGAAGTAATTGTTTATGGGTACAGGGTTTCCTTTTAGCGTAATGAAAGTGTTTTGGAGCTACATAGAGGTGGTGATTGCATAACATTGTGAATAAACTAAATGCCACTGAATTGTTCACTTTAAAATGGCAAATTTCATGTTATGTGAATTTCACCTCAATACAAAAAAAACCTTATTAATTAAAAAAAGTTAATGTCATATTTATACCAGCCTGGGCAAGGGTGGGCTGGAGCCTCATAAGCATCCTTCCTCAGCCTCTGCGTGGCGAGCATCTGCCGGTTTGGTAAACAGCCTCCGTTCCTTCTTCCAGCATCTCTTCCCACATTTTCCTCTGAAGAACTGTACCCGCCATAATTTCTCAGTCCAGATGCCAGTTACACGAGTCAATGAATTCCCTTTCTGGTGTTCTCGCACTTGCAACCAGAACAATCCTGACGGGTACAGTCAGTTCCAATGTTTCTATGGAGCAGCCCTAGTTTATGTCTGAGTGCATTGCGAGTGACGGCTGAGAGAGGCTCATGTTGCAATTTGAAAATTCTAGCTTCCATGGCTCTACTTTAATCCACACAGAAAACTTCAAGTTTCAAGTTTCATTAAAAACATTAGTTTATAATGCAAATGTACTTAATGCCAATGAACGGTATGCTTAAAAATGGTTAAAATGGTACATTTTATGTTACATGTATTGTACCATAATTTAAAATAGTAACAATGTTATTTTTTCTGGTTATAAAATTAATATGTATCCATAATTTAAAAATTTTTTGAACAAGATCAAAAAGTATGAAGGAGAGTATAATTATTGCCCATAATCTCTCTTCCATAATATACCAAAACACTTTGGTATATTTCTCTGTAGTCCTTTTTATTTTTCATGGTGTATGTATTTGTATAATTTGATTTTTTCACAAAGTGGATCATATTATATATACAATTTTGTGTCCTGGTTTTTATTTAACTATCTAATAAAAATAACTAATATTTGTATACTATGAGTGTTTTTTCTGTACCCTTAAATTGAAAGCTTGATTTTTAATGGCTGTATAATATTCCATCTTATGGATGACGTGCTTATCCTAGTTGATTCCCTGATAGTAGATATTCCAGGAGTTTCCTAATCATCTCCATCATAAATAAGGCTCTGATGAATATTGATCATTAGATTCGCAGAAAAAGGATTACTAGATCAAATGGTTCTAGCAATTTCAATGCTTTTAATCCATCCTGCCAGATTGCCCCCAGAAAGTTGTCCCTTTTCGCAAGCTTTAGTCACTGCCTGGGGGAGGGGTCGGACCTAGCCCAGATGGGAGCTGGAGGGTCTCTTAAGCAGACCTAGGGCTGGAGGACACTGTCGTGGCTGGAAGGGTACACCTGGCCACCGTCCCTGCTGTCTGGCTCCTCAGTGACACACACAGCTCCCTTCTCAGATGCTCCTGCTTAGAAAATCACCCTCATTCACATCTTTCAAAGCTTTTCACATTAACTTCAAAGCTAGGGAATGGATATTTAAGAAGCTATTTTCTGTCATCTCAGGAGTCAGGTAATTGGGGAGGTGGCTGGAGCCTGGCCTGGCTTCCTTTGTTCTGAAACACGTGGACACCTTCTTATTTCCTGGCCTCCCTTTCTCCTCACTCCCACCCCACCCTCTAGGCTCTTGGCCCTTTGTTTTGGAGCCCTCCCCAACCATGCCACTGATGTCTGCTCTGCAGCTGGCCTGTGGGAGGTGGCCATTTACTTGACCCGATCTTAGGTGAGCTGAGCTGCCCACGTTCCCTTCAAGCTGTCTGAACAAACTTGCTGGGCTTACAGCCATAGGTCACTCTCCTCATGGGTGGAACCTCTGGAAGTTCTCTAAGGAACTGTGCATATGCCCCCTGACCTATTTACACCTTAGCCCCTGTGAATTCGTGCTAATGGTGGCATGGATTAACTTATCAGATGAGATTGATGTCTCCCTGAGGCCTAAAGGCACAAGTCACCAAGCGGAGAATTTTTATAGGGTTTAGTAGAGAACAAGGGAAAGTCTAAGACTATGAGGCTGTAATCACCTTTTGCAAAGATCCCCTGCTCCCGCATTCCTAAACTCTACAGGGAGCTGTCCAGGTGCTGACCTGTTTGAAGACCATCTTCCCGGGCCACCTTCAGACCTTGTTGTCCCGCCAACATCTCTTTCTTCCCTATCCCTGCTGTATGCAGCCCCATCCACGGCCTTCATTTCAATGTCATTTCCTTTGACACCCTGCAACTTTCTCAGCGGTCACAATGCAGAGGAGCCTTCATTTTATCGATGGGCTCCCCTGCTCTTGGAACTGTTGTATAAGCAATAATCTAGTTGCCAAGGGGACAAATTATGAGAGCAGAGGCTGAACAGCTGGTCTTAGGGGACAGGGAGGGTAGCTTGGAGAAAGGCCAGTTGGGCGTACAAGCGGCTGCTCGGTCACCCGGCGGGGACATGAACGGCTGTTTGAACACTCCCCGGTTTCACAGTCCACTGCATCAAAAGGAGGAGAGAGCACATTCTAATTGAAGAAAAGAAATCAGTTCTTAGCAAGCCACATATGGAGCCCTGAAAACACACTTAGTGGCTGTGGGCAGGAGAGGGGCGCTAGCTGGGGGCATGGAAAACAGCTCAGACTGAACTGAGATGGAACAAGAAGGGGTGTAGCGAAGTCTGAATGAGTAGGGGAGGGGTGAGACAGAGCCAGTATCTCTGTCGACCCCTCTCCCATCAACAAAGACAACTCCAGGAGGGAGAGAGGCGGACCCACAGGACTGAATCCGCGGGGAAGGAAGAGCAGGTGGAGAAGCAGCCCACCTGGAGGTTTGGCACAGCCCCCTTCTCGGTCCCCACCAACCTGCTAGAGGAAGCACTATTTGGTGACCCAGCCTCCCCCTTGAGGAAGAACAGAGAATCAGTCTTTTTTCTTGAACCCCAGTATTCCTCGAGCCCTGAATACCTGTGGCCAGTGACCCTGTCGCTGGAGTCTTTCCTGTCTGCCCAGTCATCTGAATGTGTGGCCCCCAGCAGCTCCCTGGCTGCTCTGCTGAGACCAGATTCTGCGTGCCTAGGCCCTGACAGCCAGCCTAAAGGTTCTGGCTGCTGTGCCCACTCCCGGTGTGAGTGGTGCCAACGAGCATGGGGCCTGAACACGCCATTCTCCCTTGAGCACTATAATTTGGCCATTTCTAGGGCAAATTACTTCTTTAAGTCTCCAGTTCCTCATCTGGAAATAGGGGCTAGTAACATCCTAGCTCATAGGGTCCTTGTGAGAACCAAATGTGTTAGCACAGGGAAAGCACTTAGCAGGGGGTGGCATATAATTGATATTAGATATTATTGTTATTAGCCAACCCTCCATCGGGGCAACTCTATACTGAGCTCAGTTCTCTCTGCTCTGGCCTTGCCCAGTTCTGCCCCTGGCCCCGAAGTCTTCACTGGGCCCTCTTCCCTCCCTCCCGACCCCCTGACACACACACATATACACACCCCACATGTCTTGAGGTCATGCCCATTTCAAACTTCATCTGGATCTGTTGAGAACCTCTGATTGCCTCCATCCCAACACCATCGAAGCTGCCTTCATCTATCTGTTACTGCTCGTCCCTCCCTCAGTGTTGATGACCACTTAGACCTGGAGCTTAGGGGTCCCCAGACCATCTCCTCACTGCACTGAGAGTGTAGCCCATATGCTTCTAAATGAGTGAGTCCGGGTGTCCTAGAAGGTGTAAGGAAGGGAAGGAGAGCTGAATCAGGGTCGACTGCATTCTATAGCAGTAACAAAAGACCCTCCAAGTTTAGTGGCTTCACTCAACCAACTTTTTGTTTTTGCATCTGCTATGTGTCTGTCAGAGGTCAGCAAGGAAGTTCTACTCCTTGTAATCACTTGGAGATGCAGAGTGACAGAAGCTGCATCTTGACTCATGTCTCCCCAGTCCCAAAGGCAGGGGAAGTAGGATGGCAAAGCACTCAGTGGCTCCTAGGCGTCCATCTGGAAGTGACACATGTCACTTCTGCTCATATTTCATTGGCCAAAGCTGGTCCTCTGGACAAGCCTGACTTCAAGGGGCCAATGAGGGAAACTTCTCCCACAGGGAGGGCACTAAGCACCAAAAAACACAGTCTCCTACTGTGGGGTACACGTCATGTGTCCCTCCAGGGCAGCCAGCCCCCACGTCCACCTCCAAGGGGCCTGGCTGGACCCTTCCTCCTCTGAGACATAACCAGGCATTTTCCTTGACATGAACACAAGGCATATTTGCAAGGCTGAATGTGCTCACGCGTCTGTACATCTCTAATTAAGACCTAATGCACAAAGCCGTTAGATTTGCTCTGATTGGCCCAGGATTCAGAAAAAGCTGAGGTTTTATGAAACTCCTCAACCGAGGCAGAATGCATGAATTATTGAAAGGATAGAAAAAGAGACCCGGGGAGGAAGGGCTGTTCCATTATTCATCTGGCCCAGTGTCCCCAGGTCCCCCAGCACAGCTGCTGGCTTTGACACCTACAGCATTTTCCCACTGTGTCTACAGCGAATGTTTCGAATACCCATATTGGCAGCCTCCAAGCAGGGCTTGCGCCCACGCCATCCACTACCTGTCTCGTTATGGAAAGCCCTCCGCCAGGAACTGCAGGCTAAGGATGCTGGCGTTCAGTGCCACCTGCCTCGCCTTCAGGCCTCCAGACCTGAGATCCAGATGCCTTTAAAGAAGCAGAAGGCCTTTCCCTCTGGCCCCATGCATCTCTTCAGTTTTACCTTCCTCTACTCTCCACCCGCAGCCCAGGCCATTTGCTCTTCCCAGAATGTAATTTCATATTCTCTGACCTTTGCCCCCCACCTGAAACGCCCCTCCCGTGCCTTCCGTCTGCCTGCTGACTTTCTATTCATCTTGAAGACCAGGTGAGAGAAACGGAAGCTCACTTCTGTCAAGAGCCCATGTGTTAGATGTTTGTGCAAACAGGATCTCAGCAAAGTGTCACAGTAACCCAGTGAGGTGCGTGTTATCACCAGCACCAGGCACATAATTTGTGGGATTCAGTGCAAAATGAAAAGGTTCAAAAATGATTAAGAATTTAAGATGGCAAAAGCAGATCATTAAACCAAGCACAGAGCCTCTCTAAGAGGAGGTTCTGTGTGACAGCATCAGTCACATACCCAAGAAGTCAGCCTGGGTTATAGAGAAGTAAAGAGAAACTCAGAGAGGTCAAGTAACTTGTCTAAGGTCACACAGCTAGTTAGGGGCCCAATCAGGTTGAAGACCCCATTTCCTCTAATCGGAATCCCTTTTCTCTCAGCCACCCACCTTGTGAGGCCTCCCCACTTGCCTCAGGCAGAATGACTAGTGAGGAGGCTGTGAGCATCCCTAGAAGCTGGTTTCTCTTTCAAAGGGTGCCTTCTGCAGGCAATGGGTCTGTCACTTCACCGTGGGCACTGCAAGATGACCTGGAGAGCAGTGTCACACAGATCAAAGAAAGGACCAATTTGAGGAGCAAGTGGACATTCTAACATGCCTCAGTCAACTTACGGGGGAGGACAGCCACTGCCTCAGCCTCCCCCACCCTCGGGCAGTCGGCTTACCTTCCCTCAACATACTCTCCAGTTGTCTGAAGACATGACTGCTGCCCAGCAGAGGTGACCCTGCAGGACACAGGTCGCAGGGCAACCTCTGTGGCCTTTGCTGGGAACATCACACGCAGACCTTGAGAAAGGCGCAGGTCCTGGCTGCCATGCTCACTTTCCCTCTTTTCACATGGCTGATCCAGCTCTGCCAGTGGTATGCCTGGTGGGTTTCCCCTTGACTTGACAGCTCTAGCCTTGGGGAAATGCATCCTGCTCACATTCGATCCTTCAGCAACTACGAACTCTGCACCTACTGTGTGCCAGGCCTTCTGCCTTAAGGAGCTCACAGCAGCCGGGGAGACTGACAGGAAACTCCCTGTTGCTATACTGGTGAGAGCCAGACAGAGGCTCCTGGGCCCGGATGAGAGAGGGAGAAATTCGTTATCGGGTCAGAGGCAGCGAATGAGTAAGGCTTGAAGGATTTATAAGAGTTTTCCAAGCAGAGAAGAGGGCAAGCCAGGCAGAAGGAACTAGCACAGTGGGAAGATGCTGAGGGTTGAGAGTTTGACAGATGTGGGAGTCCATCCCAGGTGAGAGATGTGAACACCCATCAAAGGGGTAAGCAGCCTCTCCATCAGGGAATCCTGGGAAGTGGGGAGGAGCATTCCTGGGGAAGGTAGGAGAAGAGAGAGAAAGCTGGGAATTTTATAAGCTTAAATGCTGTGAATAGAAACCTCCTGTACCCTTTCCAAAAACCTCAGCTGTTCCAGCTCTACACAGCCCCATTCACACGTGACAACGTTCTCCCGTGAGGCCCAGGTCAGGAGGTCTTAGCGGCGCAGCGGCTTCTGCCGGGGCTGCTGCATTACGGTTTTCAACAAATGTGCTCATCGCTGACGTCGCATTATTTGGCAACCTACTTCTGCCCCCAAACATCTGCATCCTCCAGGTCTTCAAGCACGTCCTGGTCTGCAGGGACTTCAGAGACAGTCTAGTGCAGGCTCCCACGGCCTGGCGGCCAGCGTCCGTCCTGTAGGCTCATCCTAGCAGGGCAGCCCTCCCGGCTCACAGCAGAGGACTGAAGCTGCTGGTCCACAGCAAGCCACACAAGCATGCTGGGCTAGGGTCGGGGTCAGGGGGCCGTTAGAGAGAAAGGAGGATGGGCAAGTATTCAGGCCAGAAAGAGCTGCCCTTTGGGTTCCACCTCCAACCTGGCTGGACAGGCCACCCTGACTCCAGCCGCACCCTTCAGATTAGTCATCGATTCACAAATATTTATTGAGCACTTACTGGGTGTCCAGGGCTCAGAGAATAAAGGAGACAAACTGAAGACAGAGGAAATTTAAAATCTTAGTTGCTGTCATTTATTGCACACATATTTCCATTTTATAGTTTAGATGGACAAACAATTTGCTTAATGCCATGCAGAAAGAAAGCAGATCGAGGCTTTAAAAGCACAGAGGCAGGTCGGCCAGGTGGCCTAGGGATTAAGTTCACGGGCTCTGCTTTGGCCGCCAGGGGTTCTAGGTTCAGATCCCCAGCATGGACCTACACACCGCACATCAAGCCATGTTGTGGTGGTGTCCCACATACAAAATAGAGGAAGGTTGGCACAGATGTTAGCTCAGGGCCAATCTTCCTCAAGCAAAAAGAGGACAATTGGCCAATGATAATAGCTCAGAGCGAATCTTCCCTTTGGGGGAAAAAAAAAGCGCAGATCCGGGAGCCAGACAGACCCGAGCTGCAATCCCGGCTCTGCCATTTTCCACTTCTGCGTCCTCAGGCATATCACGTCGTCGCTCTGAGCCTCCGATTTTTCATCTGTAAAATGGGATCGTTGTGAGGGTTAAATGACTTCATACATGCAAAGCGCTCTGAACAGCGCCTGGTGCACAGGCTGTGGTCTGTGAATACTAGCTGGCGTTGTCCTTGCGTGGTTGGTCGTTGCTGGTATTATTATTATTAAGCCGCAACAGCAACATCAGCTGGAATTTGCAGGTAAGTCTGACCCAAGGCAGGGAGGTCTCAGCCAAGACCTCCAGGGCCTCCGAAAGCCTCTCCCCCGCCCCCACCCCGCCGCCAACGCCCGGCTCTCCACCTGCACGCCCCCCAAGGGGCTTCCCCGAGATGGGCTCGCCTCCCGGGGAGGAACCCAGCGGCCGCAGGGTCCCAAAGCCCGCCGTCGGCTCGCCGTGCGGGGGCGGGGAGGCCCCGCCCGCGGCCCCGCCCCCCGCTTGCCCCTCCCTCTGGAGTTCGGGGCTGGAGCGGCTGCCGCGGCCACGGGCAGGGGCGCGGAGCGGGTCGGCCGGACGCGACGGGGCGGGCGCCCGGGGAGCCTCGTGCGGAGCCTGCCGCCCCGCGCGCCGAGTGGGCGAGCGACGTTCGAGCAGGTCGGGGCTGCGGCTGCTCAGCGAGGTAAGAGCCGGGAAGACCGGAGAGACCGGCTCGCCCCTCCTGGGTGGGGGACGATCTCCCGCTGGAGCCCGGGCTGCCGCGCCAGGCTGCCCCCCACGACCGCGCAGCCGGGGCAGTGGCCACATTGCCCGCTGCGTGCGCCATCCTGGTCCGGCGCGGGGAAGGAAGGGGCAGCGTGGTGGGGGGGGATGGGGAGGGTCTCGGGCAAGTGCTCCGGAGATGCTGACGCCCCTCTTTGCGGACGCTGCTGGTCAGTTCATGTTGCCCGCTCCAAAGCGGGGGGCAGACTCCCACGACGGACTTGAATGGGCTGCCAGAAATTATCCGGATAATGCGGGAGGGAAAGCCCACCACCACCTGTTGAGCTGGGCTGTCCGTGTACGCGGGTCGAATTCCTCACTTATCACAGTCTTTGGGATACGTCTGTCCGCCTGCCCCGGGACTCCTCCCGCCTGGCCGCGGGGGACGGCGAGGATGCCAGATCTGGCTGGGTCCCTGCCAGGTGCCACGGAGCAGAGATGGACACGCAGGGGAGAAGGGGCTGGCGGCGATAGGGGACCCGCAGCAAGATGCTGAATGTGAGACAGCAACCCCCCGGGCACACCAAAAAATTTCCCCCATCACTCCAGAGCCCTCCATTTTAATTACTTGGTCTGTCTCTTTGCCTTCATCCTGATTTGGCAGTTGATGAAGATGCAGTTTGTTAGAAAATTGTAAGTGAAGTCAAATGATCACTTCCTGGGACTGAAAGGTACTCAAGAGAATTCCCGGGAACCTGGCTGGGGAGGAAAGAGGCTCATATTCCCCCCTCCTCTGCTGACCACGGTGCCCACTCACAGAACTGGGGCCATGTGCTCTCGTCTGCCCGGTAGAACCTACCGGGCATATCAGTGTCCCCTCATATGGCTGAGCGAGCTCTTGTTCAGAGAAGGGAAGAGATTCGCCCACTTTGCACTGGATTATCAGCAATTGGATAAGACCCAGGACAGAGTCCCCAAGTGGGAGCCTGTTTGACAGATGTCACTCTCCAGCTGTCACCAGTGCTGGCTCTTGCTCCATAGCCATCCCAGGGAACCCAAGATGGGATCTCCCATCCGGGCCACCCCTGGCCCACTCCTTCATCTCACAGACCCCAAGGTTTGATGGATTAACAGCCTGGATTACACTGGGGGTGAGGGTGGGGGGACTTTGTCCTGGATGTGATATCCTGGTTTCAGGACATCTCAGGACCACAGGCATCTTGGTGACAGGTTGGTTGCACCTTTCTGCTGACACCACAGCAGCCCCCACTCCCGGAGTCTCCTGCTGGCCTGAGAAGCCGTAGCTATGCCCCGTTTCTCTGCTCATTTGGCAGCTGGAGGTAGAGGGGGCATCCCATCTGAGGACCAGGTCCCCAGGTGCCTAGAGACGGTGAAATTTGTAGCTGTGCTTGAGACACCCCGCCCCAGACTTCTGCCTCCCTCCCGAGGGGCGGGGTGGAGCCAAGGCTGTCCTGTCCACACATGTCCAGTTTGTAAGAAGCCTGGAGTCCTGGTGGGCTGCACCCACGGCCCTGCCGGCCGGCAGCAGGCTGTGAGAGCTCGGCCGTTCTCAGGCTGTGCTTTGGGGTTCCATGACTTGGGGCTAGGGTGAGGGAGGAAACATGGGGGAGGTTAGCCAAATTGTTCACACTTGGCTGGCGGAGGTGGGCCCTATGTCGTGGTGGACAACATGGGCGCCAACCCCGGCTGGGTCATTGATTAACAATGCAACATTGGCCAAGTCACAGAACAGCTTGGAGGCTCAGTTTTCCCATCTGTAGAGTGGGGCTGGGGGTGTTGTGTAAAGCAAGGACACACATCAATGGTGGTGTTCAGGGTCGGCTGTCTCTGCTTCCTCCTGCCCCCAGCCTGACTCTCAGACACTGGACTCTGGACTCGAGGGGAGTGACCGTGCAGTTCGGATCCCTCCTGCCTTCCGTAGGGCCGGGGAGTGGTGTGAGTTTTTTTAACAAAGTAGCTCACAGATCGAGCTCAGATTCCCAGAAAGTGGGGATGGAGGAGTTGGAACCCAGTGTCCACCAAGCGCTGCCTCTGGGGGAGCTGGCGCTTCTTCCTCAGGCTTCTAGCCATGTGCCTGGGCCTGCCCCACACAGCCTCCTGGCTTGGTCCCAGGTCATCACTGGGCATGCGCCTGCTCTTTCATTTCATCCTGGGTTTGGAGTCAGCCTTACTCCCTGGCAGAATGGGGGCCAGCTACATATGACTTCAGGGACACCAGGAAAACCCCTGCTCGCCAAATATCATCGCAGTCCCCCAAACCTAGCTGTCTGCTGCCTAATATTCCACGATTAGAGACTCGTTCCTTTGGCTCATAGCCTAGTACCCAGTTATGCCAGCTAGTAAACATTAGCATCAATGACTAGTTTAAAAGCTTTCAGGACCTGTGTGCGAGGGGAGAGGGAGAAGGCAGAAGAAGAGAGGGGAGGAAAGAGCAGGTGGGGAGAGAAGGGGAGGGGAGAGGGTCCTCTGCCAGCCTCGGGGTTCTGCAGAGAAGGGCCGGGGAGATGGGGCGAGAGCAGGCAGGGGAAGTTGTGAGCCTCAAGTGGGATTTCTCTGTGAGACTGGGGGTGGCGGCCTGCTGAGCGGGCAGGTGATAGATAGAGGACTCAGTCCCCTGGCTGGGGCGGAGCCCTGGCAGCCGGTTCCAGAGGTGAAATAGGCCTGATGCCAAAGCATCCTTCCTTTTCACACCGCTCTCCCTCCCCTTGGAGCGTGGCCACGCGGTGTTAATGTATTCTATAGGCGGTGTTCCCTGCATGTGGAGAGCCTGGGCTGGTCGCGCTGGCTGTTTCAAACTGTCAGTCGTAATTTGTTAGGTCAGCAAAAGGCCACGGCTGAGCTGGGCAAGGGCAGGTTCCAACACCTGTGCCTCCCTCAACATCCCCCATCCCTCCTATGGCCCTTTCTGGAAAAGAGCAAGAGCAGCATAATTCGCTCAGACCTGTGAGTCTCCTGGCTGCGGGGCTTGGCTGGGATGACCCTAAAAGGCTGGGGGACATGGTTCCTTGCCCAGCTGGGCACGAAGTCCTGAGTTTTCCAGGGTAGGGGCAAGTGTTGGGGGGCTCTGGGGTGAGAACTGATCCCCTGCCGAGGGGGCCCAGGGACAGGCTGGCTGTGTGGAGGGGCAGGCTGGCATCACGCCGGCTCTCAGAGGGCCTGAAACATGGACCGGTCCTGGCTCGTGATGGCCCAGCAGTGAGCAGTTTGCAGCCCATTCTGGGCGCTGCTTGGGCAGACCTCAGACCAGAGAGAAGTTAGGGGTCACCCATATGACCTGTTGGCCGTGAACTCCAAATGACATTCTTTTTCCTTTATTATTGAGACATCATTGACGTAGAACATTATACTAGTTTTGATAACCATGTTCAAAGATTGTTCTCAACCGTGTCTGTTCCTAAATAATACTAATGATGACGACAGTGGTGATCGCAGCTTTTCATTCTTCATCACAATCATTAGGGAGCACCTTCTGTGTACATGCTGGCTATTGTTGTAAATAATGGGGACACAACTGTGGCACTGGTGGCATTTGGGACCAGATTATTCTTTGGGGGAGGGGCTGTCCCGTGCATTGTATGATGTTTAGCAGCATCCCTGGCCTCTCCCTAGTAAAGGCCAGTAGCGTCCCTCCTCCATTATGACAGCCAAAAATGTCTCCAGACATCGCCCAATGTCCCCAGAGGGCCAAATCACCCACTGTTGAGAACCACTGTTGGGGACACAGCTGTGAACAAAAGAAACGAAATTCAATCCTGTTCCCTTAGGAGCAAGCATTCTAAAGAGGGAGAGAACAGTAAATATGCTAAGAGGAAAATGTATAATAGGCTGCATGGCGAAAATGCTAGAAAGACAAGGCAGGGTTGGAGGTTTAGAGAGTTGGGGTGGCGGTGGGGGTTGCCATTTTCAAAGGGGGCTCAGAAAAGGCCTCCCTGGCCCGTGACATTTGAGCAGAGGCTGGAGGGAGGGAGGGAGCCAGCAGAGATCTGGGAAGGGCTTCCAGGCAGCGGGAAGAGAAAGTTAAGGAACAAGGAGGACCGGCTGTGGCTGGGTGGGGGCAGGGCCTCGAGGCCACTGTCAGGACTTCAGCTGCCTCGCTGGGTTTAAAGGAGCACCAGGGAGCGCTCACTACCTGCTGGGAGCAGACACCGTGCCAAGTGGTTTCCTACGCATATTCACAGTAGTCCTGTAAGGTGGTATTTCTTTACCTCGTGTTCCAAGGCCCAGGAGGGTTCAGTGACTTAGACGGTACAACTGGGACATGAACTTGAGAAGTCCACGCTCTGTATTATCTTACACCCACGGAGAAGTGAGTCCAAATCCCAGCTCAGTCACTTACTCGCTGTCTGTGGCCTTGGACTAATCACAGATCTCTCTGAGCCTCGGTTTTGTGGCGTTTTTGTCAGGAGTGGTGTATTGTCCTTCGTCCCCTCGTGCTGCCTGTGCCATCTCTCGTGCTCCCTCCCTCTCCGTGCCCACGTGCCAGCAAGAAGCCAGAGGGCAGGCAGCTCCCTCCATCTCTCCCAGCCACGGGCTCTTGTTCTGGATTTGTGCATCTGTTCGCTGAGCTGCAGCAACGCCATCTGGTGAGGTCAAGGCCAGCCCCTCGGGAGGTCAAGGGAAGCTAAATGCTGCTCTCCCCTCCGTCTCCCTCTTCCTCTCCCAGAGCTGAGGAGGAACCACCCTTTCCTGGTCACTGTCTCCCAGGCCCTTCGGGGCCAAGCTCGCCCGGTTCCTCCAAGGATGCTGGCCTGGCTTCTCCTGGGAGCTCAGCTGAACTGAAGCCACAGATCCGCTGTGAGCTTGGGCGGGGACTGGGGCAGCTGACATAGTGTCTGTTCTCAAGACTCTGGGACCCCAGGACCCCTAAGACTCTAAGTGAGAGGGTCTCAATTAACCCATTAGCAGGTTCTTGCTTTTCAAGTGACACATGTCAGAAATAGGTTCCTAACTGGAAAAGTG